CCAGATTTAAACCCTGTGGGAGTGACCCCCCAAGAGGGACAAAGGACCCCCTAATGATCCTCTACCAAAGTCCTTTCAGATTGTTAGCAGGACATCAAGAAAACTTTTTAGAATTATTTCTAATGTGCAATAAAGTCAACTTTTTACGTGCAACTTTGCAATCAAACTCAGCATAAAGTGACATCTATTTAAAGGCTGAACTGACCAGATTTGCCCCCGAAAACACCATCGTGGACGTCCGGTACTTGGTGGGATCCTGAAGGCTGTAATTAGTATTTGTTGTAATTAATCTTTGCTGTAATTAATCCTTAAAAACCTGATTGGATTCCACATGCGGTTAATAGAATTGAATGGATATAGTTTAGGTACAATTGTTGAATGTGCAATTGCACAAGTAAAGCTGCAAAAACCAACATGTGAGGAAGTATTCACAGACGAACATGTTGGTGTAGAACCAGTACTGTGCTATCAGTGATCCCAAAGTTGCATCCACTGATGTCATTGGCTGTTCAGGGTCCATGCTAAAAAATGTGCAACATTTCCCTGCCTCCCATAAAGACGTTAATGGAACTGCCCCCGTCTTTTAAAAAACAAAAAAACACTATGTAACCTTTGGCTCCACAATTGCTCTGCAGATGCAGGAGAACATGCTGGAAAGCAGTTCATTAATTAGACCTTAGAGGTGGAACAGCTAGACAGAAGCCACTCTGGACTAAAAGGCACATGGCGGCCTCCTCAGAGTTTGCCAAATGGCATTTAATGCACTCTGAAAGCATCTGTTGAGGCAAATATTGAACTTTTTGGGCAGAAATAGAGGGTTGAAGAGAGAAGGATGAATGGAGCCAAACACAGAAAAATCCATGAAGAAAACATTTTAAAGACTGCGCTTGTCCTGAGACTGGGGTGATTTTTCACCCCAACAATCACGCCGGTACCTTGTAAGTTTTGCTGCACATGTGAATCTCTAACTTTAATTAAGTGGCCCAAACGTAACCCCTCCTGCCCCCAAACTGTGGAAGGACTAAAGATGTTTAACATCTGCTTTCATTCAGTCTGGAAACGGATCCACCACGATGAACCGCCTAAATCCACGTGTGCAAGCATCTACAGTCACAGGAAAACTCAAAGCTTCTGCCAAAGGGGCTTCTACACTGAATTAAAGGTATGAGTACTTTACATAAATGCATGTTTTTACTTGATTATTATTATACTAAGCGTAGACTAAAAGGTAAAAGCACAATTTTTATCCATTTGAAATTAAACCTACAGTCCAGTAAAGTGCGCAGAAAGCAAAGAGGTCTCAATACTTTTGGAATTAACTGTTAATAATATATGTAAATCAGTTGACCTGTAATTATCACAACTCATTTACATACCAGAGGGATTATGGGATAACAGAGGAAGTTGTGAAGACTTTCATTTTTACATTTAATTAGAATACCATTTTATGAAGTTCAAGTAATTATTCACAGCTTAATATTAATAACAGTTGATTGATTGGTACAAAGTGAAAACACCATGAGGTCCCCACAACAGTGTGTAGCTGTCCAAACAGATATGGAGCCCCTGTGGCTGAAGTGTGGCTCATGTGTCAGTGAGCAAAACATGCTTTTGTATCTGCGAGCGTGTTTGTGTGTGCGCATATTTATGTGTGTTATAGTTACAGTGACAGGCTCTCTCCCTGTGGGCTCGTAGTAAACCTCTCCTGGGCTGAGAGGCGCTGTCTCTGTGGCTGTGGGAGGCTCTGATGGCTTGTTGAGCTGCATGTACAGAAACCACATCAACACACAGGGAAGAGAGCAAAGTGGAAACAGCGCAATAAAATAGGATCTTAGAGCGAGAATATGTAACCTGTGAGAGAATAACACACTCTTACACATCGGTGTGTATTTGATGTACACACACACACACACAATGATTCATAGTGGTTTCACTTACAAGCATGAAAAGATGTTTTCAGCACGCGACCTTTGCCGTTTTGTTACTACGGCCAATAATCAGAATTTTCACAGAAATAAGTTAAAATTGAAAAAAATAATTGGGTTTCACATGTCATTATTCAGTTATTTTAACATAACGTTATTTTAAATAATGAAAGGGGCAGGGAAGGAAAATTCAGGAGGCTTAACCTAATATTTTGGAGCTTTCCTTTTTTAAAGGCAATCACTGCAATCAAGCCTTTCTTGTATTTTTTTTTCTCTCGGTAACTTGTAATGGGGGTACACTTCAAAGTCCAGTTTAACTTTGCTTGACCAAACTTCACGTCTTCCAGTTTTCATGCATGCTTTGTTCCAGCTGCCAGTTTCACATCAATACATGCTAAATCAACCTAGTGCATCGAAATACTGCTGTTGTGTCAGAAACGGCTGGCTTCAGAGAAACACGCACAATATATCCTTTGATGTTGATTCTTGAGTGACACATACGTCCACTTTAGCTCTCTGTTTGGTTACATTTAGTCACCAAAACTCCTCGTTTTGTTTAGGAAACTATCATAGATTGGGGTTAAAATGTACTAACTGTCCGTAAATAATAGCAGTAACGTTTTGCGAGCGCTTTAAAAGGTGGCATTAAGGCACTGTAAACAAGCGTTCACATGTGATGAATTTGAAGTGAGATCGGCTTCAGTTTTGCCACGACTAGTGTATTGTCGTGCAAATTTAAGTCTTTAAGCTTAAATTTCAAAACTTACATTTTAACTACTGATTTTTTCTGTTTTGATTTTATATACTGTTTTGTTTGTTTGTTTGTTTGTTAATTAGTTAGTTTGTTTGCTTGTTTTAATCAATTTTAAATCATGCTTTTTATTTGTTTTTGTTTCTAATGTCTCTGTAAAGCACTTTGAATCACCTTGTTGTTGAATTGTGCTATACAAATAAACTTGCCTTGCCTTGCCTTGCATTAACACCAAAGAACAACTTGCGTACATCTTCAAGACATCAGCAACTTTCAAGCAAGAGCAGTTACACTGCTTTAAAATAGGGACTCATAACACTTCAGAAAGATTCAGGGTTTCATTCATGTCCATCCTTTGGTGCTTTAAGAAGTACATTTTGGGACATTAGCCTGTTGGACAATCAATGAACTGTGATTTCGGCAGCCTCAGATGCTTTTTCAACAAATACTCGTCTTTTCTATGATTTCTCTCTGCCTTGCACAGATTGAAGCACCCCTGCGACCGGCACAGCAAAGCAACCTTCTAACATGAGTAAGCCTCTTCCATATTTCATAGGGAGGATTTCCTTTGATCTTTCTTTGAAATTTTTCTTTTGTGAACATGGAGCTGATGCGACTTACCAAAAAGCTCTAATTTTGTTTTTTTTTCTGTCCAAAGAATCTTCTCCCAGAAGCAATGTGGCCTGTCAGCATGCATTTGAACAAACAGCTGGGCTTTTTTTATGTTTCTCTTTCAAAAGTGGGGTCTTGTTCCATGGAGCCCATTTTCATTCAGAAAGCCATGGGAGGTGTGTCTGCACTGTTGTACCTTTATCCTGGAGGTTATCGTGTATCTGTTTTGAAGTCTCCCTTGGTTCTTTTTACACCAGCTGAACAGTACTTGTAGTCAAGCTGTGGTAGGTTAGGGAGGGTTACCATGATATCATGAACCCGAAACTCAGAGAAGAAGTTTTTAAACTGGATTATTTGGCTACTACATCATGGCCTTAAGATCTTTACCTTACTTTTGTCTTTATTTTTTCATTCTGTTGTTATCTCCTCAGAAACCTCAGCTGACTACTTTATGTTTCATTTGAAAAGCTTAGTGACGGATGGTAAAAACATCTGTAATATTAATGTAGGACGAAAGTCTGCCTGAATTATCACCGCAGTCATTTCAGATGATTTTTATAGAAAATGCATGCTGCTCTATTCAGTCGGCTGCATTGTTCTATAACAAACCAAAGGCATGTGAGTGTGGAACAAAAGGGCTATTGACTGAAAAACTGAACATCGTCCGAGGTGTAAATGTGTCGGCACGTTGACCGTACTGGGCTTATCCTACTGACCGCTGGCGACCATAACCCAGTCATGTGAAAAAGAATTTTCACAGGACTTTGTGCGGCCCTGTTAACTACACCCACATGTTTCTATAGCAATTAAGAGGGTAAGTAACAGCTAAGTGAGGTTTTGGCAGCTTGCTGGTCTGGACCATTCAGGTGTGTGTTAACAAAATGCCACAATATTCTCAGGATTGGATGGCCCAGCAGATAAAAATCTGAATGTTAGACGATGCAGTGCTCAAAGTAATTGCAAAACATCTCAGAGCTACATCTTAATCTATTTGATTTTTGACTTTATGTCAGTACAATTAAAAAAGACTGGACAAGTATGGCTTTTTTCAAAGGGTTTCCAGGAGAAGCCTCTTCTCTCTATATAGAACATGACAGGACAGCTTAGGTTTGCAAAGTTTATCTAAACAAACCACAAGATTTTTTGAGCAATGTTGTTTGGACAGATGAGGCTAAG